ATTTACATTTAAAAAAGAAATAAAATTAGAGGATATAAGGTGCACTCATTGGTGGCTAATAAATGGAATTACCCATTGGTTTATTGTATAAAGCTATTAACTTTGCTTATATTTAACTGTACACACATCAGTTATATTAACACATTAGTTTTTAATGTGTTTATTTGTATCTTTAGGAATCTTTGTTTAGTTTTGGTATAGTACCATTTTTATTGCGTTATACTAATTCTCTTTATTATTAAACTTTTTATTGGGGGTGCATTGTAATAGGTAGAAAAAAATCTGTATTTATTAAAAGGAATGATACTAGGAGTATTTTTATTGGGGGTGCATTGTAGTAAACTGGACTATAATTAATTTTAATTAAAAATAGGTAATGAACATTCTTAGAAATAATTGTTTATGTGCACAAACGTCGCAAATATTTATAAAAAGGAATAATAAATAATGTTATGAAAGAACCTTTGCAGAGTAGTTCTTAGAATTAATATTTTTAAAATAATAAATAAAAAATTACAGGAAATAATTCTTCCATTAGATTTATATGTATCTTATTGGGTATTTAAGGTCACCCGATATTTACCTCATTGGTTAATCATGAAGTAATGCTAAATTTAATTGTTTCCTTCGTTTGTGATTTGGATATAAAGAATAAATAAATTTGGTTGAGAAGAGACTCGAAAAAAGAGAATAGTACGGGGTAGTACTGTAATGGTCTTTTGAAGGGAATTAGATAGGAATTGGAATAAAAGTGGATGGATCTTCTTTACACTATTTATTATACTTAACTTACACTAATAAGAATTTATATAACTTAGATTTAGACTTAAAACTTAAAAGTTAGGAGTTAGGATGTATAATGCAGACTGACTTTTGATGATCGATTGATTTACTATTTATAACGTATACCAAACAGATAGTAGGGTTGGTTGGTCATGTATTCTTGTTTATTTGTTCGTTAATTACATTTAATGACTTCAAAACAGTTCTTTGGGAACTTCAAATAGTGGAACAAATAAATAAGATAACTAATTTAAGCTTGATAGAATTACGAAAATATTTAAATAAGATTTACAAAATAAAAATCATTTAACTAAAACTAACTAATATTTGGTATAAAAATGAATAAAGTGTTTTAACTAAAACTAACTAATATTTAATGTAAAAATGGTAGGTAGGTTACAGTACGGTAGAATAGAATAGTTCGAGGTACGGTAGTTTAAAAAGAGTTTCTAAAAGATAATCGGTCCGTTGCGTATTAAATTCCAAATAGTTTGTGAGTTTATTAATTTTGTTCAAAAATTGTATTTTGCAGATAAAGAATTAAGTTCCCAGTAAGAATTTCTACATGCATACTAAAGTTAAGTTATTTTTCTTTTTAAATTGGGGAAAATTAAAGAGAGTAGTTAGCTTATAATATTTTATATTTTAAGTTTTTATTACTTTTATATTTAGACTTGTATTTTTTAGATGATATTTAATATAGTTAGTAGAATAAACTTTGGGTTTTCATTTCTCTATCCAAACATAATAATTAGGGGCTACTAACCAGGTCTCCGAAGTCTAAATTATAACTTAAGCTAATTAAATATTTTGTTACAACCGTCAGGTTGTTACGCTGGTGACTTCCGGGTTGTTTCACTGTATTAAAAGAAAAAATCAAAGACATACAAAAACCTGAAAAGAAATCCACAGTGGCTCTCTCTCTCTCAGTATGCAGGTAAGCCATTGAGAATTTATGTTAAGCACCCAACAAAGAAAACTGTATTAAAACCCCCAAGATTTTTGTAATTTATATATAGAAAATTCAAACAAGCTTTAACCTGACTAAAAATACAACGCTCGGAATAGCATCAATGATTCGTGTGGCTATAGCCAACTATAGTTGTAACTGAAAAGTAATTGAGCCTAATATAAAGAAGAAACTTTCATCCTCTATTCACAGCTTGGCGATTTTTTTGAGGTAAAATCGTTTGATTTTATAAATATCGAAGCTAACAACTCCTTAAATGTTAAACAATATGTTGTTTATTGCAAAAATTTGAATGGTATATTTGAAAATATCTGAAGTGCACCTAAAGTTTTGCATTGAAGTTGGAGGAAGTTACTTAAAACTTTGCTTGTCAATCCAATCAATTGAAGATAACTTTAAATTAAACTGTACTCGGACAAAATATAAAGAATGGGTCGCCTTGAAAAAATGTCAAGATACTGGGGTAAAGAGGCTTTTATTCTTGGTCTAGCACAGTTTTCTCAAGAAAACTATCAAAAAGTGCCTCAGTTATGGTCCGCAATTGACATAAACAAATTTACTGGTACAATTGCGCCCGACTTAAAGCTTGCGAATGTTTTGACTGGCATCATGAGTGACAGTAGCCTGTTTCCCTGAACTTGGTGTATGGCGGAAAAAAATAAACTTAGCGAACGTCGAACGTGCTGAATTTAGAACGATTAGCAACATAGTATAGAATTACTCCAATTGGCTCGATGTAGGAGGATTGACAAAATCTGCGAAGGAGTATTTCAATTGCGTAAATATGCCAATTTTTACAGGCGGCTCCAAAAAGCCTATTCTGGATATAATTCCACCAAACTTCATTTGATGCTTGGAGTGGTAAACACAATATTTAACCACATGCTTGTTGAATTCAAGACAGAAACTTTGGCATGGGCAAAATCCTGCAATGTTGAACGCCAGATAACTAACGGTGGCTCGGGATTTAATGGAAACGCTTGCAAAGCATTATTGGAAAAACTTGATCTTTTACGAACAACATGTCCTCTCAGTTGCTTGAAATTTGTCAAAGTACTGGACGACTTTTAATTAATTATAAAAGCCTGTTTTGGTTCACTTCTTGATCTACGCTAATTATAAAGAAAGTTATTTGGATTTGGAAGTTTCGAAAACACCTAAAATTCATAGGGTATTCCATCACGTGAAAGATTTTTACGTAAACCATAAAAAAGGATTAGGCTTTTACAGTAAACAAGCAATGGAATTAGTTAATTTTGATTTTAAAAGTGTTTGGAATAAATACAAAGTGCACCTTAATCATCCAGAATACTCTCGCTACTTATTAAAGGCCGTTTGTGACTTTAACGGACTTCACGTAAAAGAAAAATAATAATACCGTCACCTGAGTATTGATTTGTTCTATGTCCAATATGTTATAATCGAGATAAACGGATTTGAAAGTTTTACATTAAATATCTTATTTGTTTTTTAATGAAAACTTAATTAAACATTAATAACAATATTCTTGTTTAGCCTTTAATTAGTTCTATTGAGCAACTCTTATCTAAAATTTGGATTTATGCCTCAATATTGGAAAAAACGTTTTGGAGATAAAACAAAAAGTGCTATTTTTGGATTTTAGAAACAAAATGCTGGGCATATAACAAAGTTTTAGGACATGAAACAAAACTGAATTATAAAACACTTTATTTAATAATGATTTACTTTAATAATAATAATTATAATTATTGTCAAATACAATGTAATATACATGTAAATAGGTAAAAAAAAAACGTGTACTGGCTGAAGTGGATATAGAACAAAACAATTTTATACTTATAACAAAGCTTTCCTTGGAGATAGCACAAAACAGTTATAAAATGGATATAGCACAAACAAATACCTACTAATTATTTTCAGATTTTTACAAACACATAGAGCAAAAGAAAGCCTGTAAGCGAAATTTTGGAAATAGAGTAAACCAATTTTAAACCTTTTATATTAAACTCGGATTTAGACTAACCTAAACTAAAAACTGACACAATTATATCAAAATACTATTATGGAGGTGGAACAAACCAATTTAAACTTTCCGAAAATGCATACCTGGTAATAGCACAAACCAATACTCAGGTGACGAATAGTTAATTATGTGTTAATTTAATAAGTATAATTATATTAATTTATATTAATAGTTTTAAACACATAGTAAAAGCTTTATTAATATGCACTACAAATTATGTACTTCGTTATTATTAATTGGTCTTGGTTACCATTTTTTTAGTTTTGTATTTTTTATTACTAAGATAAACGTTTTTTAAGAAGCGCCCTCTAGAATATTTTGTCTTTAGTCTGACAGTGTTAATAAGATGCCAGACAATTAAAATTAACACACAAATCCCATATGCAAATACATTTCAATAAAATTTATTTCAGCCGCACCGTGTAATATTATGTTGCATGCATAAATTGGTAGGTATATTTTGTCGTTCAAAATGCAGATGTCGGAGTTTTTTTAGAAGACTCAAATATAAAAATATTCGATTTTAAGGTTATGTTTGTAAAACAATTATTTTTTGTTACATTTCTTAAAAATGTCAAAACTTAAATTTAAATTATATCAGGTAAATTTATCATTAGTTAATTCTGCACCACAAATATACGTACCGAATTGGATTTGTAAAACATGAAAATGCAACGATTTAGTTCTTGCATTTTATTTATAATTAAAAACACAATATTTCACCATAATCACTTAGATAAAATACACACACTAACGTAACTATATAAGCAAATAAGCGTTGAGTTTCTTTATCAATAGTATAAGAAATAATATATCAAAATCGAGTACTACACCAAAGTTGTTTAATTTTACTTGCAACACGAAACACAAATAACGTGCGCAATTTAGCTGTATAATTGAAACATTGCAAACAAAATTTGTCTAGTAAGCATTCCTTTCTTTTTTAAAAAAACGACTTATTTATATAAAAATGATGTGCAGTTTGTATGTTTTAAATGTATTGTTAACACTATTTTTAAAGTAAAGTTTCATATGCCAACCTTTGATAGCGAGCATGGAAGCTGTTTCAGAAAAAAATAATTTTTCTGCGTTATTTACGAGCTGGTATTATATTATAAGTTAAAATTTTTAACCACATTTTTATTTGGGCATAATCTCAGGAATGATATGCAGTTACTTAAGTAAGATGGGTTAAATTGACTAATAATCTGTGATGTATACTTTTACCTTCATCATACCCACCTAATTCGACATATGATAACTCTTCACCAAGCCACCAAGATATGGTTGGAATTTTATATTTTTTTTCAAGCATTGCTGTAAGAAGATGTTGACCAGAATGTTGTTGCATATGATCAAATCTTCTTTCCCAATCTATAATTTGTTTCACAGTTTCTCCAACATTAAATGCTTTTTCAGTGTAATGTATTGCTTTATCTTCTTTTCTAATAACTTGCTTGACTGGAATGTTGTTAAAAAAACCATGGTCAGAGGGCTGGAAAATGAGGAAATATTTATAATTATGCCTAAATTACGCAGCATCTTTTTAAAATTAAAATACATGTGACGTGCTCCGAAAAAAGGGACCTAAGCAAATTTTGGAGAAAAAAGAAAGAAAAGGCGACCGCGCTAGACAGCAGCCAAATGGAGTATGTTTAACGCCTTGTTACATGCCAAATATTGCAAGAAAAATTATTTCTGATCATAATTCAGAAATAGATTTTTGGACGTTCCCCTACAAATTCGCTGGTGGCTGCTAGTCGCTACAGGGTAGCTACTACTTGATCGCCAAAATATATCTAATAAACGTCAATAACAACTTCTCCAATAAACGTCACTTCAGTTTACTTTTAGTTTCTAGGGAAGGTATACACTTTATGGTCACAATAAATTAATGTTAGTAATAAAGAATATTAAATTAAATAAAAAAAATCAATATTATGATTTAAAATTTCCAATATATTTGGGTGTACCAGAATAAAATGGCATATCCTTTTGACCCCAATTATTGGGAGAAGGCAACAAGGGAACTGTTTTCATATAAGTGGGTTGATATTTGTGAAGGGGGTTGGGGATGTCTAAGTTGCAATTCAAAATTTTATTTTGGGTTCTGCTCAAAGAAGAAGATTTCATGGTCATGGCAAGTATAATTACTTCATTTTTTAGAACAGCTAGCTACTATTTGTTTAAATAGATTGATTTTTCTGCAGTACTCTAAATAATTGCCTTTAGTATGTCACTTTTTTTTTAAAGCACTTCTAAATCGTTATTTGCAGAATTTAAATGTAAAGTTATAACTTATAGTATACTAGATCTTCAGAAAGAAAATCATTGTCTTTATGATTAGCTTTCTTATTACTTCCAGGAGATTCATCATTTGTATTAACATCATTATAATTTAGTCTAAAATAGCAATATGTAAAAAAAACATTATTCTATAAAACACTCACAGGCAAAATAATCGATCCACAAAAATTTTTGATGAATTTCAATCGCAAATAACTTTTTTATTCGATGTCGGATTTAAACGAATATTAAATAAATAAATAAATAGTCATTTATTAGCATAAGCTATTTTACAAAAATACAAATAATTATAAATAAACAAATACCATAGTCAAAATATCACAATACAAAGTTTTGTTTAACATATGCAAGGAATGCGGTCGATGTTGCCAATGGTAAAAAAATAAAATTCCCTATTGGGAACATTCAATTATATTACGTTGGCTACACTGAAATTTTGAATTTCCCGCACAAACTGACATACATTCTAGTAGTTCCCAGAGATAAAGAAGGTAGTTCCAATATTATATATAATAAATTAAGGTGCGAATTTTAAATGTGGGAATTATTATTATTTATTATTATTAAAAAAAGATGGAAATTAATTTAGTTTGTGCGGGAAATTCAAATTTTCAATGTAGCCAACGTAATATAATTGAATGTTCCTAATAGGGAATTTTATTTTTTTACCATTGGCAACATCGACCGCATTCCTTGCATATGGTCAATTCATCACAAGTTTTCTAAATATTTCAACCCTATCACAGCTTCTTAATTAATTTGGGAGGCTATTAAATAGTACCAAACCATTAACAAAAACATTTTTTGTTGTTTGTGCCCTATCATAATTCCCCACATAAAAATCATTAATACGCCTAGTATTGTAATTATGGACACTTTGTGCTAAAATTAATTTGTTGTTTAAATATGCAGGAAGAATTCCAGCCTTGACTTTAAATATAAATAATAATGTTTAACACTCCTCAAAATACTTAATATATCAGGAATCATTTTTATTGGAGTATACCTGTTACATTTTAAAATAATTCTTAATGCTTTATTTTCTAGTTTCTGTAGTTTTTGCATTTCATTATTATTTATACAGAACAACACAGTTGAACAATGGCTTTATACAAAAAAAAAAAATTTACTTGCAATGATAGATTTTTTCCCTTCTACCAAGAAAATATACTTTTTTTGAAATTTTATTTAACTCAACATGATTTTTAAAATTTAAATTTGAATCAAAAACATCACCGGTGATGGGCCCAGATACTTTATTTTATCAACTTGTTCAACTTTTATAATATTAATAAATACAGGGTGTTTCAGAATAAGATGCTGAACCTTAAGGGTGTTGATTTTAAGAAAAAAAGTTCAAATAAACCTATGACCTAAACCTCTTAATTTTTGAGTTACATCGTTTTTTTATCATAACTTTAATAACTTCCTAGATATTTTTATAAAATTTGGCACACGCCTTCTAAGCATTAACAGTAAGTTTTTGATGTAGAAGAATTTTTATTTTTTTACCAGTGGCGTCCGTACAGGATGTGGTCTAGATATTTTTGGAAAAATATTATGCACGCCACTGCTATTTTTCAAAATAAAAATTGTTTTTTAAATCCCCATTCATTTTAGGGCAAATTTGATTTCTTGACCATTTTTCGGTTAAACGGTTTTCGATGAAAAATATAAATAGTTCCGGATGCACGAACGATTTCAGGAACTCACAGAAAGTTATGTGAAGCGGGATCTTTTAAAACAAAAAACTACCTGAAAGAGGCACACCATACTGCACGAACACCGGAAACCGAAGAAGCTGTTTTACATTTAGTGGATCAAAACCCTGAAATAAGTACTAGAAAAATTGGGAATATTTTAAATATTACTCATGTTCTAGTGTGGAGAATTCTTTATGATTATTTGTTATATCCTTACCATATTCAACGGGTCCAGGCCCTACTTCCTCTGGATTTTCCATTACGCTTAAATTTTTGCCAATGGTTTCTTCAAATGGTTACCGACAATCCCCAATATGACGCCAAAATTTTATTTGCGGACAAAGCTAATTTTTTCAGGAACGCCTTAAGAAGTTTTCACAACAATCATTTATGGACTGAAGAAAACCCGCATGCCATCACGGAATCCAATTACCAACAACGATTTTCTGTAAACGTATGGGCTGGAATTATTGGTGATTATTTACTTGGACCTTACTTCCTACCAGGCAGATTGAACGGAAATAATTATCGCCAGTTTCCTGAACGGAGTTTACCAAATTTGCTAGAAGACGTCCCTGCTTTTACCCGGCTTCATATGTGGTTTATGCACGATGGTGCACCTCCCCATTTCAGTCTCCAGGCACGGGAATATTTAAATCAACATTATAGAAATCGCTGGATAGGGCGCAGAGGAACACAATTGTGACCACCTAGATCGCCAGACCTAAACAGCTAATCTAAATTATTTTTTATTTTTAAAATTATTTTATAATTAAATTTAATTTTAATGTTTATTTAATCATGGCATTGGTTTCTCAATATGAGCATTAAATGCTTTTTATTTTTTTTCATAGAAAAACGTTAATCGTACGAAAAATGGTCAAGAAATTAAATTTGCCCTAAAATGAATGGGGATTTAAAAAATAATTTTTATTTTGAAAAATAGCAGTGGCGTGCATAATATTTTTCCAAAAATATCTAGACCACATCCTGTACGGACGCCACTGGTAAAACAAATAAAAAATCTTCTACATCAAAAACTTAGTTAATGCTTAGAAGGCGTGTGCCAAATTTTATAAAAATATCTAGGAAGTTATTAAAGTTATGATAAAAAAACGATTTTTTTCTTAAAACGTTAACACCCTGTAACTCAAAAATTAAGAGGTTTAGGTCATAGGTTTATTTGAACTTTTTTTCTTAAAATCAACTAAGGATTCACACCCTTAAGGTTCAGCATCTTATTCTGAAACACCCTGTATGTTAACATTATCTAAAATGCTTTTGCAACTCAAGAATCCTGAAGGACAGGTAGGAAGATGGATTGAGAGACTACAGGAGTTCGACTTTGACACAGAACATCCTGCTGGGACCATCCATAGAAATGCTGACGCCTTGTCAAGAAGACCGTGCACGGAAGACTGTAAACATTGTCTCAGGGCCGAAGAAAAGGATGTGTTCAGTCGCAGGACTACACTTGTGGATGATCATTGGCCGTCCGATGAGGTTCAACAAGATCAGGAAGGGGACCCAGATTTGTAATTTTTTATAAGCCCTTTTGGCTTTTTGACAATTTTTGAAAAATTTTATTTTTTGCAACTGTGCGCTACTCAATTTCTTCAAGTCAAACTCTAACAAAATCATGAAAATATTAAATCAACTTTATTAATCACTTCAAAACTCTAGTCAATATTAAATTCTTGCTTAACAAGTACAGTAAACACTCTCTTCTAGAGATATGCACAGACTAACCATAAATTTCTTTCAGCTCTCCAAGGTATCAACCATCTATGCAGACAATGGGAGCGACTGACTTATTATAGCCAGCTCGTTCCCATTCCCCTGCTATATTAAGTAAAGGCCGCTGGCGGAGCCAAACTACCCCACCCATATCTTACCTCATCCCAGATTTACTATGCTATAGTACTACCACACCCACCCATGCATTCCTATCCTCAAAGTAAGGGCAAAGGGTCACTATGACCCGTCCTTTGCTAGTGCAATAAGCCCAGTTTTATTCATTTGGAGGCTACCCAGATTTGAAGCCCATTATCGACTGGAAGAAGAACGACCACAAACCAACGTGGCAGAAAGTCGCCCAATAATCGCCGAATGTGAAATCGTACTGGGCCCAATGGAATTCCATCATCTTAAGTGATGGACTTCTAAAGCGCGTTCTGGAGACTCAAGAAGGAGGGGAAGACCGGAAGCAGTTAATAATCCCCAGAAACTACTGGAGGACATCTTGGGCTGATGAGGACACTTGGAAGACTTAGGGAACGGATTTATTGGGTCAATTGTCAACGAGATGTAAAAGAATGGTGCAAGAAGTGCGCCGTTTGCGTAGCAAGTAATGGACCCCAGAAGCTCCAATGCGACAGTAGAATCGAACGATAAACCGGTACCTGTCCAAGGTAGTCTCTGATCTCTCATACAACCGGCCAGACACCCGCTAGCATTGTTATGGGACGTGAACTTCGTCTACCTT